GGGGGGTCACCTTGGGAGAGAAATTCCTCCCTCGAATTTGGAAAGGCAACAAAAACTCCCCAAACACAAAGGAAGGGTTTATTCAGCGGGCTGGGTCCGGTCTCACACCGAGTTCTGCGGGGAGAAAAGACCCCTTGGCTTTAAATTTCGTGCATTTTATAGTTTTACAAAGTCCCACCTTTTTTTAGATGAGCTTAATATATTCACTTTTGCCCAAAAAGGTTTCTTTTCTCTGAAAAGGGGCTTTCCCTTCTTTCTAATTGGCCACTCTGTCAAAAGTGATGGATCTTCCTTTGCTCTTAGCCCCAAGAGAGAAAAGAAACCCCCCCCATGGACCAAACTCTCCCATGGCCCCGAAAGATTTTAATTTTTAAGTTTTAAGTTTTTACATTTCCCTTAACTGGCCGAAAAAAAGACCCTGACACCCGAGTCCGCTCCGGGACTTGGACATCTCACAGCTGCCTATAAAACCCTATTTTTATTTCTCATAACCAGAAAAAAAAACAACCCCAAAAGCGACATTAAAAGTGTGGTTTGAGACTCTGGGGTAAAAGCAGAGCCTGGTAGGTCGTGGGGTTGCTTTGGGGACGTCTGAAGCGAGGTGGTGGGACAGACATTCCCCTGTGCACGCCCACGAGGAGCCTCGTTTTCCCGAGGGAAAATCTTGGAAAAGAGCTCCAAGACTGCCCAGCCCGGCACCCACCCGGGAAGGGGCCCGGTCCGGGCCGAGGGGGTGTCTGGAGAGTCTCCACCTGCCCTGGAAGGGGCAGTTTGGGCCCGTCCCCACCGTGCCCCCCCCTGTGCCACAGCTGGAGGAGCTGCACAGCAGCCGGGGCAAGTTCTGTGACGACCTGAGGAACAACCAGAGCGAGATCGCCGAGCTGAACAGGATGATCCAGAAGCTGCAGTGCGAGTCCGACAACGTGAAGAAACAGGTAGGACCAGGGGCTGGGTCCCACGGGGCTGGGAAACTCCTCCTGCAAAGGGAGGAGTCCTCAGCAGCTCCCACCCTGCAGGGCGGCCAAGAACCCCCTCCCCAGGCTGGGTCTGTTTGTGGCTTCAAATGCACTCAAAATGCACATTAGAGAGCTTCAAATGCACTCAAAAT